ATATCATACAATAACGATATATAATACAAGATAGTTGATAGACCTTGTAAATTACTAGAACAAAATTTGTTTAAACTGGGACATTATTTAATATAAGCACCGTTATGTGCAGTTTCAACTTGCGCAAAGGTAAAATGTCAAGAACTACCAAAGAAGATCTACATGTATAAATGAGATGCATTTAATTACATTTTTGTATTTATGGTACTTTGAACCGCGGTTCTTAATGTAATATAAATCCGTGTTTGAACATACATGTTTTTGTAAATCATTTACAGAAAATAACACAGTTTGTTTCCAGCAGCATTTAAGTTGCTGCCTTAATGTAGTCATCAAGGAGAGAGAAAATTATCAGATAATTAGACGAGTAAACAGAGTTGCGCGTGTTTTCGAGCATACCTTTAACTGTTGAAATAATTCAATATTTGACACAAAATAACAGCTGTGTAATACAAATGTCACTTACCTAGATGTGCAATTATCCGATACAAAACTATTTTAAAAATCAAAACTCCCTCTCGTATTCACTCAGTAAATCTACTAGTTCTGTGAAGCAATATTCGTGTAGTTTATACCATCACCTGGTCACTGACATGTGAACCGTCCGCTTATTTTTCAATATAGATTTTTTCACGGGTCGTTTCCCATAAATATTGTTACAGATTTTAACCGCGTTTAAAACTCAGCGTCGCACGTATACCTTTTAATCTGATCACTATTCTATATGACTGTAGATCATGTGACTGATGTTAATAAATAATCAACGATAAATGCACGTGAACGAACGACCCCTTGTTATCAGGTTTGTGTATTCGTGAAGTTAACAATGTTTACAGTGATACGGCCGGTGACCACATATTCAAATTGTAGTATGTGAAGGACATACATGTATATATCTTAACTTATCCACGACTGTCGCTTCATATATTTCTCACTGAGGTATGAATATTTTACCGATATCTAAGCAATTGCGCCATTGTATTGACAATGATAATTGCTGTCAAAGTAATTCATTCTGTATCAGAAATATTGATTAAGCAAACAAGTGGGCCCAGAGGCTGCTCGATTTTCATTGGGATACATACATAATCGATCTGGTGCATATGTCTCTGATATAGGATGCCATAGGTCAAGCGACGTCGTATCTTTTAGCGTTTAGACACTTCTAAGCAATTAAACATCGCGTGTCACATATACCATATTTTTATGTTAGACAACTCTATCTAGCTTCCTTTTTAACACAGATAACTCTCACGCAGTTGTTTCCCTTTGCAAAAAAAAGGTTACTAAAAAGGGAAATAATCAAAACAATGTAAGTCAACTATTTATGTACACGAGTTATCTATAAAATAGAGAAAATGAAAATCCCTAAAGAAAGCCCAACACAGCAAATTGAAAATGTTGCAGGCTCGGTTTGATTGAGCCTGTTCATGCACGGTACTGTCAAGTGCAAATTACCGTCCACGCCCCCTAGCACCGGCTTAAGCAGAATTTAACATGAACTGGTAGAATTTGGAATTTTGAAACACCGCAGATTTATGCCTCAGAAACGAATAAATCTTAAATTTACTTCTTTAGAAAGGGGAAACATAGTTTATGAAAAATATGATTCATAAGCATTAAAAACGTTTTAACCTTTTACCCCATGAGCACATTGCGAAAAAATGGCCGTTTTCATTGAAAAGCCTCCTGTTACAAGTTCAAACTGCTATGAAACTATGAAAAATGCTTCAATACTAATGACACTTGGCACAAATGTTGACTACTGCATAGCCTCTGTAACAGCATGCTCAATGGTAAATTTCCTGTTACCATGGCAACGGGGGACGTCTCAAAATTGCCAAAAATCACTATTTTGCATTGTTTCTTCTATTAAAACTGATTTCAAAGTGCTGCAACCTCTCAATGAATTGGGATAGAGTTAAAGGCTTTTCAACGTCTGTTTTTAGCCTGTCACATGTCCAAAATTTTCTTGGCGATGAGGGGGACTCCGCCCCCCTTCACCCCCCCCCCCAAACACAAGGGGGCACATCCCCCTTCTGGCAACCCCCTGTGATAAATAGGGCATTTTTTCACTGTTTGAGGCCTCAAAAAGGGGGGGGGGGCAAAAGCCGTCGAAACACGCTTATATAAGGGAAAAGGTTAAACAAAGATTATATCTTTCATGAAGCTGGATAGTATTTATCATTTGTGGACACGATGGTGAACATATAAATGAGCCGCGTCATGACAAAACCAACATAATGGGTTTGCGACCAGCATGGATCCAGACCAGCCTGCGCATCCGCGCAGTCTGATCACGATCCATGCTGTTCGCTATGACGCAGCTCATACATATATTAAATGATAATTCAAATAAATCAATACAATTATTTATGTACAGATCATTTCCACAGGGAGTAATAAAGCAAGACTACCCGGCCGAAACAACTTACTAGTTATAACTTTTACTTCATCTATAATGTATAACTTTTGACAACAGTGAAACTTGTTAACTCAAATATGATTGCGTACACCAACAAGTATCATCAAGTTTGTTAATTGTACAAGGAATGTTTATACAATAAAGTAAGGTAGAATGGACAATCATTCCGTTAGCGTAAAGGAAAAAAAAAAAAAAAAAACTAAACGACTGACTTTCTACGGTGTGATACTTACTGAAGGCTGGATTATATGATATAAGATATAGGATCTCCATCTACCATGCACATGTTCATCAGCTATTTCGAAATGAGCAAATAGTTTATGTGGAACAAATGACGTAATGAAATTTAAATATAAAAATAACAACGATGTGTTGAGAAAAAAGGTTGAAAGTGAAAAAGGGACGCCAGATTCAGATGATTTAAGATTGAAACGTGTGCATTCTGGCGAGGAACTGATAGTTGAAAGAACATGGGGCTGGAAATAAAACCTATAGAATGTGTTTCATTGTGAATGAATTTCTTACTTTCTGAGTCTGGTTCGCAAAATAAAGAGCAATATACTTTTTGAATTGACTATGAATATAAGAGATTTTGTAATATCATAAAGATGTTCTGATTTTGTAATCAATCAGCTGATCGAAATAATATAACACCTACTTGGAATTGTATAAAATATGCTTCAGTTTTTACAAGTCCGATTATTTCTACAAATAAACCGTCAAATTAAAGATAAACGTATAAAATACATGTAAATAACTTCGATTCTTCTTCACAGAATATTTCTCTCACACAATGGATTTTGGAATAATTTACAAAATTACTGCTCCGACAGAAGTAAAGTTGTTTCTCTTAGCTCTATGTATAGGTGGCATGCTGGACGTGTTGAGACAACTGAGAGAATGGTTCCGCGTTCGAAACAGTCTTCGCGACTTGTTTGACAAATTTTGGATGAAGAAGGGCGTTAAAAGGAATCTTCCCCTTGAATTAAAAATATTGTAGTAGATTATTAGGCCTGGATTTGTAGGCGATATTTTAAATTGAAATCCACAAATGGAATGTTGTACAATTAGTTCTAGAATATATTGAACTTGTTAACAGTTAATTCGAATATATTTTGTCATAAACAGGGCAGGATGCTACAGGCAAGTTGGCCGCATAACGAAGGTGACCCCTAGCTCGAATTGGATTGTACTTTCATTAGAGAAGAATATAAAACACTAAAAGTTTCACTGGTGGTACTGGCAGGTCAACTTTATACATTTGTATAGATGAAGGTCTCGGTTATAAAGAAGAAAACTCAAACTATTTATCAATACTTTTATTCCTTTTTTTAAGGAAATATTTCCATATTAATATTAGCACACACATTTAATAAATAACAATCAATAACAGCTGTACTGTTTTATAATACAGGTGAGCAATGCAATACAAGGTACATTATAATGTACATAATTGATAAAGATACTTTCATATCGATTGATTTTTATTTAGTTTCATGGAAGTATCCCATAAATTACATTGTCAATATCTCCAAATAACAACACATATTCCATTCTTAAATAACAAATTCCCTCCCTTAATAACATTCCCAAATTCTATATTAAACAACTCAGTCTTTAACAACATGAAATTTATAGCTTACAATATATCTTTTATGTCTTTTTCTAGTCTTTTGTATATTTTTTAAGTTACAAACAGATTTTTACGACACCATTATTATTGTTGTAACAGAATTGTTGATAGACTGTACCACAATAAACGCATGGCAATAATGAAAATACAGAAGGTAAAAGTTAAAGGAACTTCACTCATGTCCAACAGCATTGAAATATATCATTTTGAATTTCATATATAGATGAACTTCAGAACAAGAAAGATAAGCAAAAGATTGCGGGTATAAAGAAATATATTTTTTTGTGCTATCCAAAGTCTGATTTGAGTTAAAAGCATTGCAATACTTTTCAATTTTTGGGTCATTTTCAGAATTAAAATAATTATTTTCAGAAAAACAAACGGAGTGATTGATGTGAAATTTGCATTCACATTATTGGTCTAGACATTAGCCAAATGAAACATTATCCCCCCAACAAATATTTCCCGTACCATCTTGTCAACTAACTTCAGAGGAGTCCCTGTAAAGTTTGATACCCAACATTCACTCCATACACCTCATTAAAGGTATATATGCAACATAGCACGATTTATCTATACATACAAAGTAACTTAACATGGCATGATACATACAATGTATTAAGCATTTACAGCTTAAAAGTCTAACTTTTATATATTGATATTAATTCATACCTACAATGGTATACTTCCAATTGGTATACTTCGTTCCACAGTTACTTGCAATATCAAGTAACTACCATCTATAGCAATTATAGAATTGCTGGAGAAAATATTTAATACACATACACACAAGAGAAACATCCCCTACCTGTAATTTTTATGTATCCAACAGACTCAAAAATAAATAGTTGGGGAAAAACGCGCTACATAGAATAACTTTATACCCCCCAGTATGTACCAAACCACCATCTTACATACAATAAAGTAACTATAAGATTTGAGTATTCATTTTGTCTTTATTGAGCTTTAGCTCCACATGGCAACATGGGGGGTCAATGAGTACAACTATAACCATTAATATGATAACAAACATACATAAAACAGTAAAATGTAAATGACAAAATTATGCACATTATTTATTCTTACAAAATCATTATTTTCAAACAGTAAAATATAACACAATATCATAAACAAATTTATCACAGATATATTTTTGAAGCACATGCTGGGAATTTGAAAACAACTCTATCATTCAGACTTTACCAAGCCATAAATGATTCTTTCAGCTTCAGACTTTATTAAGTAATAAATCATTCTTATGACTTCAGACTTTATTAAGTCATAAATCATTCTTATGACTTCAGACTTTATTAAGTCATAAATCATTCTTATGACTTCAGACTTTATTAAGTCATAAATCATTCTTATGACTTCAGACTTTATTAAGTCATAAATCATTCTTATGACTTCAGACTTTATTAAGTCATAAATCATTCTTATGACTTCAGACTTTATTAAGTCATAAATCATTCTTATGACTTCAGACTTTACCAAGCCATAAATCATTCTTATGGCTTCAGACTTTACCAAGTCATAAATCATTCTTATAACTTCAGACTTTACCAAGACATATATAATTATCATAGCTTCATAAATGAACTTATTAAGCCATATATTTTTCCTGCAGCACTGGAAAATTTGCTCTCTTTTTATTGACTTGACTGTTTGCATGCCAACAATTAAACTAGTCCAAGTTACTCTAAGCTGTATGACATCTTTAGTAAAAAAACCCACACAATTCTTAAAAGTTTAACATAACAAAAATAGATTTACAACAATACATAAACATACCATTTTTGTATTTCAAATAAATCAACAAATCATTTTGGCTGTAGCCTGTCATTTTTCACATAAACTTCCTTTGACATTCAAAAAGAAGAACTGAATAAGAAAGAATCTTCAATGCATCATCTTAGAATTTCAAACTGAAATCTTAGAATCTAAAAAAAGTAAAATAATATAAACATGTCTCTTAAAATTTATAAAATAATCGAAGGGTTTTGAAAAATGAACAACAATTCAAAGAGGACAAAAACAACTATATGTGTTACTGCCAGTTGGGATACAGATTTGTATATAAGACAGCCAGGTATCATTTACACAGATACGAAGGTACATCTTGTTTCTCATCCTATGGAGCATCAAACAAGCCTCCTTCTATATGTAGTCTGTATCTTCTACATTAAAATATAAAATAGTTTTCACCCCATTGAAATGAGAGCACAGCTATGAATTTCATACAGAAATATATATCCACCAGCCTGCACACCATTTATTTAAGTAACAAGCAGACTTCTTTGTCTTCAATTTTATCAGACTTTCAAGGCTAGTATTTTCATAGCAAGCACAATTTGTTTGATATATTTAGTCCATTTGCAACATCCCTTATGGCACTCACAAACCTGTGAAATTAACCTTTAAATTTTAGACTGTGTCAGTTATTTTCACAGAAAGAGATACACTTCTTTGACGCTTTTGCATTGTAGTAACCAGTCAACATCACTTCATAGACTGTGTCAAGTATATTCACATACATGACCACATCCTGTGGGACATTCTGCATTTCTGGAGAACCAGTCTTTCACATGTTGTAAATGTCCACCATGTGAGCAACCTTGACACCACAAAAACAATCCTTTCACTGGCAAATGGCTGAAAAACAACATTATACCATCCTACATAACCTACCATATCACCTAGATAAAAAAAATTAATAGAAAAAATTATGATAATAATAATTTCAGTCGGAAAATGGTCAAAACACATTTCATTGGCAATTATCATTTCCTTGACTGCAGAAAACTCAGAGGAGTTTCAGTTATAATAAATCTATCCATTAACCTAGTGGATAGCCTATGTTGCCAGTATACAGACTTTAAAATTCATAAATCACTTTAATATCTTATTTATATACATGTAGATGTAACCGACTACTTACCACACGCAACACTGGTTGATAATATTCTTACATCGGTCACAGAGCCAGCCGGAACGATGTAACGGTCTCTGGCATGTGTTACAGTTCACGTGTATCGTTGTCGATTGTTGATTTAATATGGAAACATGGTGTAGGTTGCTTAGTTTTATCACAAAGTTGGCAATAGTCCAGAGTTTAAATCTACCTAATAATTCTGAAACAGATTAAAACTGAAAGCTGTATGACTTATATCCATGTCATAAGAAAACAGAACCTGGTCCTATACAGTTAAACTAGGTACAGTACTAGTGAATTTTATAAGCTATGACCAAGGTTTCATATAACTAATAATTACTAATTATGAATAAGAATTTAGGATACTTATCAACAACATATATAATGAACAGCTTACATGTAAACCAAATGTATATATAGAAGTGTGATATATTTTTATTATCATAATTTGATACTACAAATTCTGAATTCATGTATGTAAGTTCTGTAAATTTATTACTGTAGTCGTAATATGATGTGAGTTTCTTAAAGTTAAAACCATTCCAGTTATCTATTTTCTTTTCTAAAGTTGTATGTTTAATTGTTTCTTACAAATTCTGAAATATGTTTGTGGGTTGTGACAATAATTAATTCTAATATTCTAATTTAATAAGCGATACTACATGCAATTCTTCTTTCCAAAGGTTACAATGCGACTTTCCAGCTTTAATGATGGAGGAAGACCTCAGTTGCCTCTCCATGCATTTTTTCAGGCAGAACGGACACCTCTGTACAACCATCAACATTCCATAAGCTAGCTTAATAGCTTTCTCACATGAAAGAATCCAACAGCAGTGAGGGGCAAGTGGTTTTAAAGTCAACAACGCTACCCACTTGGCCTAAGACATCCCTCACTTTTGAAGTAATATGTCCAAAGTTCTAAGGTAAAATACACCTCAACATGTAAGCTGATTAAATCATAAGTAAATAGAAAGAGCTAGGTACTTAAAAAGTGCAGATATAGTTACCTATATAAGAGAAAAACCAGTCTTCCTGAAGGTTAGGTTCTATAAACTTCCTGACTTTGTCTTTAAGAACAATCAGCATACATACTGGTGTTTGCACATCACCCTATATATTATATAAAAATATCTTAACAATAAGTTTCTTAGTTTCCTAACTATAACATAAATATCTCCAGTAAATGTCACAAAATTCAGACGGCTTGTATTTACTTAAATGTCAGTGGCCTACATATTCATGTGCAAATTTAAATATTTGATAATGTAGAACAAACTTCAATGTTTATTTTTCCTAATTAATGGGTAAAATTATCAGTAATGATTTAGAAACTACAATATTACTAATATCTCAAACATACCAGTACTTGATGTGATGAGAATTCTTAAAAAGACACTTACAATTATTTAAATAATACTCGAGTTAGAAAGCAGGCAGTCTTTTTAAATCTTTAGGGGGCAGGGGACCTAAAAATGAACAATTTTGTATTTCAGTGTGACCAGAAACACAATTCCAAATATTTCAAAATCTGTTTCACAGGCAGATAACCAGTTGCACAGCATTATTCAATGATATATGACATACATTGAAGAAAATAATAGTTTGCATGCATTGCTCCTTCAAAAAATGACTGACAGCAATTTATATTTACCCCACCCAGTCAAAATTACGCCTAAAATATACCAATATGGGCAATCTTCATGAAGGTGCAGCAATACTCCAGAATCCCCCCGATTCCTTTAAAAATATCAGTAACACGCAGTGCAAGCTATGGCATTTTCAGAAATGACCAATAAAGTGTCTGTCATACGTTTTAGATTTTTTCACAAAATTTATCTGAAATTTCTTACTTGTTTGGCGCCAACTGTCAAAGCTTGATTTTTAACTTTTTTCACCTCCATTCGGAGAGTCAGAAATACATATAAAGCTACCAAAATGCTTAGTTTCGGGTAAAAACCCAAAAATACTTCTCATTTCCTACACACAAACAAGAAAGAATTACAATGACAGAGAAATATCAGAAGTTATCAGTACCTTCAAAACACCATGTCTGAGTTATAAAAAAAATTGACCGGGGCCATCATTCGAATATGTCCCCTGCCCCCACATTTAAACAAATAAGGGCAGTGACTCAAAAACAAGATTAAATGTATTCTGAAAGTTATAACACTAAGCCAAGATATGTAATTTTATCCCTTGTGCAAGTTTGATCGCATCTGATCAGTAAATTTTGAAATAATCAAGCTACTAATTGATCTATCTAAATTCCTCTTCCACTATTTTTTCACAAAACACTGGTCAAAGGCATTCACGGATAAACAAAAAAAAAACTAAAAAAGTTAGGAAGAGTGTAACAAATGTGGATGAGAAAGCTAACCTCGGCAGCAAAATTCTTCATCATGTCAGTGACTATGGTAACAAATTCCCAATCATGATTCTGCATCAACTGCATGTCAGCAGATAGTAGGTTGTTGGTATATTTATCATTGGTTCCCTTGATCTCCACATTATCTGCTATCTCACTCTCTATGGCCGGGTCCAGTCTTGTCTCTGGTCCACCTTTCTGGGTACTTCCTTTAGGGTTTTTACAAGTTTCATCAGGAATTTCATGTCTTGGATTGAAGGCTTCAGAAGGCAGAATCCATTCCTTGATAATAATAAAATACATAACATCTTAATTACCAAATGATTAAAACATTATGCTGGAACTGGAAAATAAAAGACAAAAATAAGTAATAAACAGTGTTGTTATACATTTAATTATTCTACAAGTAAACTTCAATTCAAACTATAGGAGCATTTATATTCAGTTATAAAGCCAAAATATTCAGTTATAAAGCAATATATTCAGTTATAAAGCAATATATTCAGTTATAAAGCAATATATTCAGTTCGAATGTTATGACATTTATTTCATTCACTGATTTACAAAATGTGAAATCCTGTTAGTAATGCCAATTGGCCTAAAGGTAGAACAAGAGCAGTCCACAAGACTGCACACTCAACTATTCTGAAGTTGACAGTAAGAAACAGGGGCCTTATTCTGTAAAAAGGTAGCTCAGTGTTATTGGACCTGTGCCCATCATGCTTGATTATCATAGAAAACATATTTGTGGTGGAGTTTCACCTCATTCCCTTCAGTAGTTTTGGTGATAGCAATTTGCACACAAAAAATTAACCGAAGTGTGAAGAATATACTGGGTTGAGTTCAACAGCTCTCCCTATTCTTGGAATAGTCCAACTAAAAATGCTACACTGAGCTCACCTAACACAGGCTAATTGATATACCTGTTTTGAGTCACTGAACTCTTGAATATCTTCGTTCAGATCAAAGGATCCGGGGTCTCCATCACCAAAGAAAATATCCCAGTCAGTGTTGATCTGACCTCTCGCAATATTTGATAATTTAGCGTCAAATAGCTCTTTATCTTCCATATCGTCATCAGAATTACCTAAAAAAAACAACAGAAAAAAACTTTTACAGTCAAACTGGCATGAATTGCCACATCAAGATCATTTGAGCCGCGCCATGACAAAACCAACATAGTGCGTTTGCGACCAGCATGGATCCAAACCAGCCTGCGCATCCGCGCAGTCTGATCAGGATCCATGCTGTTCGCTATCAGTGAAAATTGAAATATTTATTCAAAAAGATGCAGTTATATGTGAAACAACTGGTACTTTTTATTAGTAATTATGAATATACAAAATGGAAGATGCTGTCATAAGCTTAAGTTACCAATAAGAATCTGAATATCATAAAAGCAAATAAACATTTGAACAAAGCAAAACACTTCTGAACAAAGTACACTTTCGTTCAAACTGCAATGTGTAAAGGTGTCTTAATAAAGATGTGAATAATTATGAAAGCAAAAGTACTTCTGTACACAAGAGTACACATTAATTATAAACAAAAGGGCCATGATGGCCCTGAGGTCACTCACCTGTATATATCCCCCCCCCCCCCCGGGCCAATTTTTACCCAAGGGCTTTTATTTGTTTATTTGAACAGACTTGGTAGACACCCATAAGAAGATGTTTCATGCTAAACATCTAAGTTCTAGCTATTTGGGTTTTTTCAAAGAAGATTTTTAAGTTTTTGCTATACACATATAAGGAAAATCAATGACCCCCTGGGGCAGGGCCAATTTTGACCTCAGGGCTTTTATTTGAACAAACTTGGTAGACACTCATTAGAAGATGTTTCATGCTAAATATCTTAGCTCTAGCTCTTTGGGTTCTTTAAAAGAAGATTTTTTAAGTTTTTACTAAATGCATATAGGGAAAATCAATGACCCCCTGGGGCGGGGCCAATTTTGACCCCAGGGCTTTTATTAGAACAAACTTGGTAGACATGCACTAGAAGATGTTTCATGCCAAATATCTAAGCTCTAGCTCTTACAGTTCTTTAAAAGAAGATTTTTTAATTTTTTTACTATATGCATATAGGGAAAATCAATGACCCCCCCCCCCCGGGCGGGGCCAATTTTGACCCCAGGGCTTTTATTTGAACAAACTTGGTAGACACTCACTAGAAGATGTTTCATGCCAAAAATATCTTAGCTCTAGCTCTTTGGGTTCTTTAAAAGAAGAATTTTTAAGTTTTTACTATATGCATATAGGGAAAATCAATGACCCCCTGGGGCGGGGCCAATTTTGACCCCAGGGCTTTTATTTGAACAAACTTGGTATACACTCACTAGAAGATGATTCATGCCAAATATCTAAGCTCTAGCTCTTAGGGTTTTTTAAAGGAAGATATTAAAGTTTTTCTTTCGGTTGCCATGGCAACCAGAGTTCTGCATGGAATTAAATTCTTTGAACAATTTTTAAAGGTGACCACCAAAGGAACATTCCTGTGAAGTTTGGATGAAATTGGCTCAGTGGTTTATGAGGAGATGTCATTTAAAGTAAAAGTTTACGGACGGACGCCGGACGGACGCCGGACTTAGCGATCACAAAAGCTCACCCTGTCACTTTGTGACAGGTGAGCTAAAAAGGCCTAAACCTGTGAACAAAAATGTGCAAAAAGATTAAATTATAAGGAACCCTTATTTTTGTTTATAAAAATATATGCAACAAATTTCTTTTAAAATCAAGGATTAATTCAAAAAGTATTGTAAATATCAATTGAATATCTCAAGCAATAATTGAGATATTTGACTTTACAAAAAACTTTAACCAAAATTTCTAAGTTAAAAAGGAGCATAATTCTGTAAATATTGTAGGCAGAGTTATTCAAATTGTCAATCTGATGTACATTGTTACTATAAATAAGTACATGTATTGTAAGTTTCAATTGAATATCTCAAGCAATAATTAGATATTTGACTTTACAAAAAACTTCAACCAACGCAGATGCTGACGCAGACTTGGGACGCAGACGCCGGGCCGACTGCAATAAATAGTTGAGCTAAAAATCAATCCCTTAATAGGACACCCTTCTGCAATGACTTGTTTATATAATATCCCATTGGTCTGTACAGTTTTGTCTAGAGACTGACTTCAAGTTTGCACTCATTGAAGGCTTTTTTTCCATCATGGTGGCTTTGATTCAGGACTTACTGTATATCATCTTGTCAACAAGATTATTTCAAGTTCATTATAAAAGTCTTACCTGAAGTTCCATCCATATTTTTGTCATCAACATCTGTTTCTGGCTCTTTTGCTTGTTTGTCTGTAAAATATTAGATATAACTGTCACAATGCTAGCAATTATTATGACTTTACCCTAACACCAGAATAAAGTCTGGGCTGCCTGCATGTCTGTGTAGATGAACAAAACATTTATACTGCTCGGCCATTAATCTTAAGTTTGTGCTTTTATTCTCCCATCATGCCTTTAACCTACTGGCAGCTACAGACTACCCATGTGACCAGTGCAGACCAATATCAGTCTGCATGTCTGTGACATCTAGTCATGGACTGCACTGGTCACTATTCAGTCATGTTTTAAACTTTCTCTAAAAGTAACGATAGTTTTGCCCAGATTATAGGATTATTTTATTATGCAAATCTGCATGGATTTCAAATAATATGTACTTAAATAATCAATTTTTCATTATAATTTTGATTAATTACTTTAGCAGCTTAAAAAATTTCTGTATTAAATATTATAGGCTTCATGTACAAAGCAATAATCTTTAAAACAAGAGCTCTGCATGTGGTGTAAATATTGATCTGTTAAGGGCAATGACTATCAAAAACCAAATTTTATAAATATATTCTAACTTAAAAAGGGTCATAACTGAAGCTTTCAGAATAACCCCCATTGTCTAACTCATGATCAACAAGTATTCCAAGTTCATGTTGATAACTCTCAATGGGCTACATTAATGTTTTGCGCAATGCTGGCAATGCTGCAGTAATCTTAGTTTATACAAAATTTATTTTAGTTTGATTGTGTTGGAAGCTGTAAGTTATTAAAACCCTCTTGAATCCATCCTGGAACCAACTAGTACTAAGCAATGAATGTAAAGTTTCTTGCTCAAGGAAACAACAACTTGCCCCTGACAGGGTTTGAACCCACACGGTCAGCAATCCATAGATTACTAGTCTGATGTGTTAACCACTCGGCCATGCCGCCGCTACGCCTACAGAAATCTTAACAGCTCGACTTTCTCTTTGGAACAGACAAGTTAAAACTCAAGGTGGCTAGAAGCTTACTTTTATCTATATCAATCTTCTCAGTGAGTACAGATGAGATCACAGATGATGTCCTGTTGACATGGAGATTCTTGCTCTCAACTATATGTGTACAGTATAACGTCAGTACCAACAACCATGCCTGGGCAACCTGTAACAAAAAACATCTCAAACTTTTCCTAAATGTTTAATAACATGTTTATGACTGAATGTGTTTGAAGGGTAGGCATATTTTACACCTTATTTCAGATATCTTAGAGATCTTTATACGATGATGGATCTTCTGCAAGGTAACTTGATGGCTTTCTATACATTAAATAATTTACTTTACCAAGAAGGATCCTGAAATGGCATTTGTGAAAGACAATAATATTTAAAACAAGAGCTGTCCGTAAGACAGCGCGCTCGACTTTTTTATTGCTTGCCAATAAAAAAAGTTTTTGCAGTAAAAGGCAATACAAGAATCTCTGTATTTTTAAAGTGAACAATGGCCATGAGCATTAAGATATTTAGTGAAGAATTATTTTACTGAATTGTGTGATACCCTTGAACACTGCAGCAAAGTTTTTTAGTGCTTGCCTATAATACAAAACATTGACAGTTAAGGGCCATAATTCAAATAAAATCTTTGACAGAATTACCTTCTCCTGGACATGTTTGGGAATCATGATTGTAAACAAGTATTCCAACTTTCAAATTAATATCTCAAACAGTTCAGTCAAAAAGTGGACTGGTACTAAAAAACTTAACCAAGATTCTAAGTCGATAAAAGGCCTTAATTTTTAAAACAAATCCTTGACAGAGTTACCTTCTCTTGCGTACAGATGGGGGTAATGATGTGAAATAGCATTAAAAGTTTTCAAAGCAATATCTCAAAGGGTTAAGGCAATAAGTGGATTTTACCCATATTCAATGTATTTTCTAAGTCAAAAAGGGGCATAATTCTGTCAAAAACCTTGACAGAGTTATGTCCTCTTGTCTGTTGATGAAGGTCGTGATGGTAAACAAGTATGGTCAGTTTCAAAGCAATACCTCCAATGGTTTTGAAATAAAGTGAGGTGGTACAAAAAACTTAACCAAGCTCAATACACTTTCTAAGTCAAAAAAGGGCCATAATTCTGTCAAAAACCTTGACAGAGTTATGTACTCTTGTCTGTAGATGGAGGTTATGATGGTGAACAAGTATGGTAAGTTTCAAAGCCATACTTGTAATACTTCTGAAATAAAGTGGGGTGGTACGAAAAACTTAACCAAGGTGTGACGCCAACGCCGACGCCGACGCCGGGGCGAGTAGGATAGCTCCCCTTTTCATAGAAAAGTCGAGCTAATGACCAAATCTACTCAAGCATAGGTTTATGACAGATTTTTTCTGGTTTTCTTCAATAACAACAACATACTTTATGTCATAAAATCTATGCTATTAAGACAGATATCTTAACAGTAATAATGATACTCATTAAAAAATATAGCTTTACTTATAATAAAAGACTGAGCATCTTCAAGGTCAAAAATTCACTCTGTTGACAAAAAAAAAATCAGTATCAAATTTAATATAATGACTTACATATACAGAACACCTTAGACAATAATATCACATTTGTGGCAATTCCTGTATAGTTGTCTTTGACTTTCAGCCACTAGAATATCCTCTTATCAAATCTTGAACAAATAACATGAAAATAAATATAAGAGAACTGAACTAACCTGCCCTCTATGTAGTGATTGAGCAACTTTAGAATTATGTTTACATAACTCCTCCACTGAATGTCCCTCAAGTTTGTAGTTCTTGGCTGACATTACCATCCATGATAAATCCTACAATAAACAACAACATATGTTAGTTTTCATCTTCACATAACATTAATTCTCCCCTTTTAAACCATTGATGTATGTGAACAGATTGTTTCCTTTTTTTTTGGAATTAAGCTATTAACAAAGTTTACAGGAAGATGTCCATGCATTCAATTTCATAATGCTAAATTTATAACATTTTATCACATATAAAAAGCACTTCTTTATTGAAATTTTAATTATTTATTAGGAAGGCATTTCATTATCATGCACTCTTAAATTCATATAAAACTGATGCAAAACACTAGTAATTTTTTTTTTATCTTATATGAGTTACAACCTACTATAACCTACATTTTAAAAAAGAAATTGAAAGAAAAACTGTTTTAGCCTTAAATAATTACAAAGCTTTCTAACACATTACATGCAAACAATAATGTATATATTTAACAATGATACATTTGCATGACATTTTCTTTTAACCATTTACATTGAAATTTTGCATCATTTCTCATAGACCTGTGATTCATGCACTAGAAAAAAATTCCTCAACTGAAAAGTAATTACATTTGTAGTTATTTCTATGAACAGTTATCATTAATTATTACCACTGAAAACAGGGAAAATAAGAAAATATATCTAGGTGCATTAACAACATAGTAAGCAAAAGTTGAAAACTAGAATTTTGTGCAAATCAAATTGAACATAAAATAAGTTTTATTTCAGAAGAGAATAATTGTACAAGCAAAATAATTTATTTTATAGTATTGCAATACTGTCAGGCATTTCATTGACTAATTATTTACTAGTGGTCCTTGTATCTTTCAATTCACATTGGAATGATGCAAAATTACACATATCGTACAATCAAAGTAAATCTGCAAGTAATCTCTATATAATTATACATAAGGAGTCAAAATCTCTATGCTTATTCTAGGCTAACTGTAGGCTAAATCTACTGTCTTTGATTAAGGACAATACAACAAGGGAGGTAATTTAGCAGGGGAGCTAATTAAGCTCATAATTTGGCAGTATAAGGTGGGTTGCCTACCTGTATTGACTACATACACTTATTTCATTTAATTCAAATGCCTTTAGCCAAAAATCATTAGAACTCTTATTAGTCTGAGTTAAAATATGCTAAAAAATTTAATACTACAAATGCACATTAACATCAAAGTTTATGCTGTGGCGTGATAAATTGAATGCAAATATATTTCACAATTTTAATTTAAATAAGAATATTATTTAATCTATAGAGCATTTTTATAAATATATTCCATATATATAAGAAATTCCTCAAAGCACTAGCAGCCTTTATTATAAAGCTCAAATAGTGACACAAGCAAGAAAGGAGAAAGAATAATTATAAAACCAATTTTCAAAACTATTTTGTGCCATAGGAAACAAGCATTTATAAATTAAAAAGGGTTAGGCAATGCATTTAGAAGAAGCCAAGCCATATCAAAGTGAATTAATGCAGTTTTACCTGAACAAATAACATTAATGACTATTAATTGATAAAAAAAAAACTTAACAACTAAACAATCTTTTAAAAAAAATAAAAATATATAAAGAAGAAACGACTAATTAATACATCAATCATATATCATTCCCCTGTTCATAATATTCCAAACATAAGATACATTCTATCTGTGATTGGCTGGTGTAAGTTAGGACTACTATGTCACTTGCAATGAATTAATAACTAGAACTGCCACTATCTTGGCGTGAATACCCCCGCATACCACTTTGTCAGAATCAACAGTGGCCATTTAGAGCTCAAGGACAACCTCCCTGCCAAATCTGAGGTTACTAAGCCAGTGCATTGCTAAGTTATGTATTCTACAAGCTTCAAATGTGAAAATGTCAAAATCAATACATTGCGGACAGGACATTCTTTAGCAATTGAGAAGAAAAGGCTTTTTTTTGTCAAGGTCCCTGTGACCTTGACCTTTGACCCAGTGACCTCAAAGTCAATAGGGGTCACCTTATAGTCATGATCAACATCCATGCCAAATATGAAAACTGTGGGTCAAAGGAATCTTAAGTAAATGGGTGGACAAACTTTTTGAAGTCAAAGTCCCTATGACCTTGACCTTTGATCCAGTGACCTCAAATCAACAAGGGGTCATCTACTTATCATTATCAACATCCATGCCAAATATGAAGACTGTGGGTCAAAGGAATCTAAAGTTATTGGGCAGACAAACTTTTTTGAAGTCAAAATCCCTGTGACCTTGACCTTTGACCTGGTGACCTCAAAATCAATAGGGGTCATCTACTAATCATGACTAACCTCCATGCCAAACATGAAGACTGGTGGGTCAAAGGAATCTTAAGTTATAGGGCGGACAAGCTTTTTGAAGTCAAGGCCCTATGACCTTGACCTTTGACCTGGTGACCTCAAAATTCAATAAGGGGTCATCTACTAATCATGACTAACCCCCATGCCAAATATGAAGACTGTGGTCAAAGGAATCTTAAGCTATTTGGCTGACAAGCTTTTTGAAGTCACGGCCCCTGTGACCTTTGACCTGGTGACCTCAAAAGTTAATAGGGGTCATCTACTAATCATGACTACCTCAATGCAAACATGAAGACTATGGGTCAAAGGAATCTTAAGTTTATTGGGCGGACAAGCTTTTTGAAGTCAAGGCCCCTGTGACCTTGACCTTTGACCCTGATGACCTCAAAATTAATAGGGGTCATCTACTAATCATGACTAACCTCCATGCCAAATATGAAGACTATGGGTCAAAAGAATCTTAAGTTATTGGGCGGACAAGCTTTTTGAAGTCAAGGCCCTGTGACCTTGACCTTTGACCTGAATGACCTCAAAATCAATAGGGGTCATCTACTAATCATGACTAACCTCCATGCCAAATATGAAGACTATGGGTCAAAGGAATCTTAAGTTATTGGGCGGACAAGCTTTTTGAAGTCAAGGCCCCTGTGACCTTGACCTTTGACCTGATGACCTCAAAATCAATAGGGGTCATCTACTAATCATGACTAACCTCCATGCCAAATATGAAGACTATGGGGTCAAAGGAATCTTAAGTTATTGGGCGGACAAGCTTTTTGAAGTCAAGGCCCCTGTGACCTTGACCTTTGACCTGATGACCTCAAAATCAATAGGGGTCATCTACTAATCATGACTAACCTCCATGCCAAATATGAAGACTATGGGTCAAAGGAATCTTAAGTTATTGGGCGGACAAGCTTTTTGAAGTCAAGGCCCCTGTGACCTTGACCTTTGACCTGGTGACCTCAAATTCAATAGGGGTCATCTACTAATCATGACTAACCTCCATGCCAAATATGAAGACTATAGGTCAAAGGAATCTTAAGTTATTGGGCGGACAAGCTTTTTGAAGTCAAGGCCCCTGTGACCTTGACCTTTGACCTGATGACCTCAAAATCAATAGGGGTCATCTACTAATCATGACTAACCTCCATGCCAAATATGAAGACTGTAGGTCAAAGGAATCTTAAGTTATTGGGCGGACAAGCTTTTTGAAGTCAAGGCCCCTGTGACCTTGACCTTTGACCTAGTGACCTCAAATTCAATAGGGGTCATCTACTAATCATGACTAACCTCCATGCCAAATATGAAGACTAAGGGTCAAAGATATCTTAAGTTATTGGGCGGACAAGAAAAAACCGACGGACGGCCGGACGGCCGGACGGACAAGCTGATTCCAGTATACCCCCCTTACAACTTTGTTGTGCGGGGGTATAATAAAATTTTATAATTGATATTAATAAGACACAGTCATATAGATGAGTAAACACATGCTTCAACAACTATAATTACAACTTCTGGTAATTGATTCAGAGTGGTTGCAAGATCTCCCACCCACCCAATCCTTCAAATATAACTAGAACTTTTGGAATTTGATTCACAATGGTCAGAAGATCGACCTCCCACCTAAATTAAAATTGCTAACAAGTCTTGAGGACATGACTTTAAAAACCAAGGGCCTGTCTAATCTATGTAATGGTGCTTTATGCCTTGCAAGTTTAAGTTGTTTCTCTTGAAAATTTTTTTGTGTAACTGTTGCACAAAACGGCACAAAACGGCAAAAAATTAAATAACAAACCCTCTCCTAGTGTTCCCCAATTCTTACCTGGTAATAAATTCAATTTCCATAAATTACTATTAATTTTTCCAAAAAAGATCATTTGAACATGGAAAACTTATGCCTTAGAACTATTCATTAACTAAATTGCAAAGTGAAACCACTTAGCCTTGCCCAGAAATTTAAACATCACCGCAGATTTCAAACATCACAAACCTCAATGCTCCCTACAGAGCAAAGTATATATGAGCCTTGTTCATATTTTACGAGATAAATTTATTGTTAAGAAAGCAGTATACTGGTGTACCTCTATAGGAACTACCTGTCCGGTGTCCGAGAACACCTGCATGTAGGCCGTTACATCAACAAAATGGTCGTTTCTTTCTGTGCTCTTCTTTGTCAGCAGGCCAGACATTATTCCACTCCCTTCACCTATTGAGTTTAATTTACCTGGTAGAAAAATCAAAGCTTTATAATCAGACCTTTATCATAATGTCCTTAATTCAATCATAGGCAAATATCAGCTAAAAAGTGCCTTCAAATATAGACTTCACATGTAAATAACTTGTCAATTCAAACTATACTGAATATATTTAAATTTGATATAAAAATATACAATGCAAGAAAAATTATCAAATACAGGGGGTATCATTATACATTATGATAAATATTTGGCTATCAGGTAAATGTCTAGCCAAAACTGAGCCAAACTTTACAAATTACCCTTCCAGCCAGATATTCCAGTCTTTACCATCAGTGTACAAATAATCTACCTTGTTTATCACTATTTGCATGTCCAACTGTACCGTACACACTAAAATCAAGCCCAGCTGGTACAAGCTCTTCTCCTGGTCGCTTGGCGTCCCTGAATACATGCTGGTATAGATAACTGTCCTTGCTACCACTTAACATAACATGAGGGTCCTTATTCTTAAACAACATACCTGGGGAAGATAAAAATTACACCTTAACGTAACATGAGGGTCCTTATTCTTAAACGACATACCTGGGGAAGATAAAAATTACACCTTAACGTAAGATGAGGGTCCTTATTCTTAAACAACATACCTGGGGAAGATAAAATTTACACCTTAACGTAAGATGAGGGTCCTTATTCTTAAACAACATACCTGGGGAAGATAAAAATTACACCTTAACGTAAGATGAGGGTCCTTATTCTTAAACAACATACCTGGGGAAGATAAAATTTACACCTTAACGTAAGATGAGGGTCCTTATTCTTAAACAACATACCTGGGGAAGATAAAAATTACACCTTAACGTAAGATGAGGGTCCTTATTCTTAAACAACATACCTGGGGAAGATAAAATTTACACCTTAACGTAAGATGAGGGTCCTTATTCTTAAACAACATACCTGGGGAAGATAAAAATTACACCTTAACGTAAGATGAGGGTCCTTATTCTTAAACAACATACCTGGGGAAGATAAAAATTACACCTTAACGTAAGATGAGGGTCCTTATTCTTAAACAACATACCTGGGGAAGATAAAAATTACACCTTAACGTAAGATGAGGGTCCTTATTCTTAAACAACATACCTGGGGAAGATAAAAATTATACCTTAATGTAACATGAGGGTCCTTATTCTTAAACAACATACCTGGGGAAGATAACAAGAGCTGTCCGTAAGACAGCGCGCTCGACTTTTTTAGTGCTTGCCTATAATACAAAACATTGACAGTTAAGGGCCATAATTCAAATAAAATCTTTGACAGAATTACCTTCTCCTGGACATGTTTGGGAATCATGATTGTAAACAAGTATTCCAACTTTCAAATTAATATCTCAAACAGTTCAGTCAAAAAGTGGACTGGTACTAAAAACTTAACCAAGATTCTAAGTCGATAAAAGGCCTTAATTTTTAAAACAAATCCTTGACAGAGTTACCTTCTCTTGCGTACAGATGGGGGTAATGATGTGAAATAGCATTAAAAGTTTCAAAGCAATATCTCAAGGGTTAAGGCAATAAGTGGATTTTACCCATATTCAATGTATTTTCTAAGTCAAAAAGGGGCATAATTCTGTCAAAAACCTTGACAGAGTTATGTCCTCTTGTCTGTTGATGAAGGTCGTGATGGTAAACAAGTATGGTCAGTTTCAAAGCAATACCTCCAATGGTTTTGAAATAAAGTGAGGTGGTACAAAAAACTTAACCAAGCTCAATACACTTTCTAAGTCAAAAAAGGGCCATAATTCTGTCAAAAACCTTGACAGAGTTATGTACTCTTGTCTGTAGATGGAGGTTATGATGGTGAACAAGTATGGTAAGTTTCAAAGCCATACTTGTAATACTTCTGAAATAAAGTGGGGTGGTACGAAAAACTTAACCAAGGTGTGACGCCAACGCTAACGCCGACGCCGGTAGGATAGCTCCCCTTTTCATAGAAAAGTCGAGCTAAAAATTACACCTTAACGTAAGATGAGGGTCCTTATTCTTAAACAACATACCTGGGGAAGATAAAAATTACACCTTAACGTAAGATGAGGGTCCTTATTCTTAAACAACATACCTGGGGAAGATAAAAATTACACCTTAATGTAAGATGAGGGTCCTTATTCTTAAACAACATACCTGGGGAAGATAAAAATTATACCTTAATGTACCATGAGGGTCCTTATTCTTAAACAACATACCTGGGGAAGATAAAAATTATACCTTAATGTAACATGAGGGTCCTTATTCTTAAACAACATACCTGGGGAAGATAAAAATTACACCTTAACGTAAGATGAGGGTCCTTATTCTTAAACAACATACCTGGGGAAGATAAAAATTATACCTTAATGTAACATGAGGGTCCTTATTCTTAAACAACATACCTGGGGAAGATAAAAATTATACCTTAATGTAACATGAGGGTCCTTATTCTTAAACAACATACCTGGGGAAGATAAAAATTATACCTTAATGTAACATGAGGGTCCTTATTCTTAAACAACATACCTGGGGAAGATAAAAATTATACCTTAATGTAACATGAGGGTCCTTATTCTTAAACAACATAACTTGGGAAGATAAAAATTATACCTTAATGTAACATGAGGGTCCTTATTCTTAAACAACATAACTTGGGAAGATAAAAATTATACCTTAATGTAACATGAGGGTCCTTATTCTTAAACAACATAACTTGGGAAGATAAAAATTATACCTTAATGTAACATGAGGGTCCTTATTCTTAAACAACATAACTTGGGAAGATAAAAATTATACCTTAATGTAACATGAGGGTCCTTATTCTTAAACAACATAACTTGGGAAGATAAAAATTATACCTTAATGTAACATGAGGGTCCTTATTCTTAAACAACATAACTTGGGAAGATAAAAATTACACATTAAATTAATGTCACACGAGGGTCCTTATTCTTTAACAACATACATGGGGAAGATAAAAGTTACACCTTAACATAACATGAGGGTCTTTATTTTAAACAATATATCTAGGGAAGATAAAATAATTACTTTGGTTTTAATGAAATCTTACAGAGTATACATGTAACAATCATGTAATTTATCATTTGTAACTGCCAGAACTACAAATACTAGTATAATAAAATTACAGTTTCTATAAATTTTTATTGTATCTCAGTTGTCAGGCCATCTAACATGCTTTCCTGGATAACTAACTAGTAATTACCAATTTCTCCGCAAGTGATCAACTACTAGCCCTACATGATTTCTTCTTAAAGCAGTTAAAGACAAATGACTTATAGTCTTAATGTTTGAGACATTCATAAAGAAATCTGGCCTCATCAAAAAATAGAACCAGCAACTCCTGAATTATATATTGGATGTTCTCCCTATTTAGGTAACAGAAAATTTATTCCTATTCTATAAATTTATATATGACATCATCAGTACTGGTTACTAGAGTCCATATCCATGGGCATTCAAAGAAACACCTGTACTAAGTAAACTAGGAAAGAAGGAAATACTTACTTGTAGTAACATCTATATGGTTATCAAATGTGGCGAACGGTACATACGGTCTACGTATATCCCATATGTTTATACTACAGTCTACAAGCAGGGAACATGATGCTATATGGAACCTTCGCTGTGGTCGCCACTTGATCCTAGCTACAGATGCTATACTGTAAATGGTATATATACACTTCTGTTTGCTTAAATCCCAGACCTGTTCAAATATATAAGGTTGATACATTCATTGTTCAATTTCGCATCAGGCCTCGCATCAGGCCTCAAGGTTATAAAACATTTTTTTCTGTGTTTTTTTCTCAAATCTCAGTAAATTCATTGGACAGTGAACATTCTGAAACAGTTTCTGACCAATCAAATACCTGAGATTTGAGTTTGAGCTTGAAGAATTTCTTTATAACCTTGGGGCCTGAGTAGTTATACTTCGCTCATATATAAGTGCTTCTAAATGTCAGCAAGATGTAGAATGTATTTTTATCAAATTGTGTATGGCACAGTACATTATTTGTTTATTGCGATGTTAAACAGTAAGATACTATAGTCATCTACAATTCAAAACATACTTCATACAGTGTAAGAAAATACAATGAATAATGTATTAAAAAAGCCTAAATAACTCACTGCTTTTTTACTTTATTAATCATTATATAAGCTTAATTGTAAAAAAGACAGCTTTTATCTTATTTGATTCACTTTAAAATCCACTTCCTGCAACTAACTGGTATTGGTGTCATAAATTCAACGTGTTTGTGACCTCAATAGGGCTCAAACCCACTCTCCCTAGCTTGAAAGACAGACACCTTACCTGCAAATGCACCACTCATGTTAACTTGTTACAACAATAACTACACACATACTACTTAAAGACAATTCAGAAATTCCTATTGATATACCAGACCATGTGATACATATAAGAGTTAATGATAACTTCAGAAGAGAACCTACTTTTATCATTTTATCCCTCCCAGCTGTTGCAAACAAATTTTTATCTTCTGGATGCCAGTTGACACTGAACACTGGACCACTGTGTGCAGGAAATAGCTTCTCATACCTGTCTGGTCGTCTCATATCCCATATCTATAATAACATGTAGACGATCTTATAAACATGTGATTGATAAATCATGTCAGTTCAAGAAATGTAAATTGAGTTGCGTCACGACAAAACCAACATAATGGGTTTGCGACCATCATGGATCCGGATCAGCCTGCGCATCCGTGCAGTCTGATCAGGATCCATGCTGTTCGCTATCAGCTTCTCTACTTGTAATAGAATTGGTAAGCGAACAGCATGGATCCTGATCAAACTGCCCAGATGCACAGGCTGGTCTGGATCCATGCTGGTCGCAAACACATTATGTTGATTTTGTTGTGACACGGCTCAAATTAAATCAATATGAGCTGATCTATCACTCTGATGGCAAAACAAATAAAAGTGAGTGTTCAACAAATTTGTCCATTTGGAAAAATTCAATATCTGGCTTTAAAAAACATGTAAATTTGGAAAAGGTCAATATAAGACTAAACAAAAAGGTCAATTGGGAAAAGGTAAATATGTAGCTTTAAAAAAAAAATTCAATTGTGATCTGGCTTTAAAAATTTGAAAATTAGGGAAAGGTCAATACTTGTCTTTAAAATATTTGACAGTATGGAAAAGGTCCATATTACGCTTGAGCAAACTTGTCCATTGGGTAAAAAAAGGCTATATTCTGTCTTTATTTAACAAAAACGAAAATCACTAAAATCATACCATAAGATTACCACTTTCATCAGCCGATGCAAAACCAAAGTAATTTAGATTACATGGACTAAACATTATATCTCTAACACTTGTACTTCCACTGGAAAAATTCAAGCTAACTTCTTTTTTCCGGAGGTCCTGAAAATTAAAAAAATATATGAATATAAATAAATATGACGTTAATCATGTACCAGTCAATTTAAATTGTTTATAATAAAGGGTTTATATTAATAATATAAATAGAAATATATTTGTTGACACATGTTTGTAAATTTCATAAATAGACACATGCATGTTAATATTTTACGTTGACACATGCTTGTGTGTGTGTGTATATATGCAATATGCAATACATATTGGAAGTAATTTATTGATTAACAAAGATGACTGTTAAATAATTGATTAACACATTAATGACTGTATGCATTAATGGGTGATAATGGATATGTGAAAAAAATGAATTATACTTAATTATTATTAGTTTTTATTCAGACACATGCATGTATATTTCTTCCAAAGACACATGTTTGTATATTTTTTATATAGAAATGTGCTTGTATATTTCTTCAATTGACCCATGTTTATATATTTCTTACATTAACACATGCTTGATAATTCCTTAGACACATGCTTGTATATTTCTTACATAGACACATGCTTTTATATTTTTAACATTGACATGTGCTTGCATATTTCTTACAGAGACACATGCTTATTAATTTGTGACACATGCATATTAATTTCTGACATAGACACATTCTTGTATATTACTTACATAGACAAATGTTTGTATATTTCTAACATAGACACATGCTTGTATATTTCTCACATAGACACATGCTTGTATACTTCTCACATAGACACATGCTTGTATACTTTTGACACAGACACATACTTGTATATTTCTGACATAGACACATGCTTGTATATTTCTCACATAGACACATACTTGTATATTTCTGACATAGACACATGCTTGTATACTTCTGACACATCCTGTATATTACTTACATAGACACATGCTTGTATATTACTTAGATAGACACATGCTTGTATATTCTTGACACAGACACATACTTGTATATTTCTGACATAGACACATGCTTGTATACTTCTGACACATCCTGTATATTACTTACATAGACACATACTTGTATATTTCTGACATAGACACATACTTGTATATTTCTCACATAGACAAATGTTTGTATATTTCTTACATAGACACATGCTTGTATATTTCTCACATAGACACATGTTTGTATACTTCTCACATAGACACATGCTTGTATACTTTTACACAGACTTGTATATTTCTGACATAGACACATGCCTGTATATTTCTAACATAGACACATGCTTGTATATTTCTCACATAGACACATACTTGTATATTTCTGACATAGACACATGCTTGTATACTTCTGACATAGACGCATACTTGTATGTTTCTGACATAGACACATGCTTGTATATTTCTGACATAGACACATGCTTGTACACTCAGTACAAAAAGAAACGCAACTTTTTCATTTTTTTAGGTTTATACTAAATTTGGACAAACAATTTTCCCTTTAATATTCTCAATGACATTTTATTGTTAACTTGAGTACAAAATGGCAGTATTTTTAACCTCCCTCAATGCAGTTTAACGGCAAACTGTACAAACCACATTTCCACGTGCACACCGTGCTCTATAGTTTACCGATAGTTTCTATACATGTAGCCGTGTAGTGATGAATTGGTACACATGAAAAACAAGTTTATTTGAACTGTCAGTACTTTATAACCATGCAGCGCCTTGCTGAACATTTGCGGAATCAAGCAATTGGTTTACTTGAAGCTGGTGTTTCGAAGATTGACGTTGCACGGCGATTTAATTGTCATGTCAGCACTATCACTCGTCTACAGAATAGGTACAATGCCTCCGGCAGTGTCAAAGACTTACCAAAATCCGGTCGACCACGAATAACCACTAGGAGACAGGATGTGAATATTCGAGTGGGGCCCCTACGTAATCGATTCGAAGCGGCGTCCTCTACAGCTAGACGAACAATAGGTACTCACCGGTAGGTGAAAATATTGCTATCTTTCTGAAATTCTTCCTCTTATCAAATTTTGAGCTGTTCACATTTTGATGAGGTTTGCCCTTTTTGAGACGTTGCGTTACTTTTCAGGCGCAGTATACACGCAAACACAGTTCGAAATCGGCTTAAGGAAAATGGTTTGAGGTGTAGGAGACCCCTCAAGGCATCACGCCTCACTGCACGTCACAAACGGGATCGACTACGGTGGGCTAGAGTGCACATAAGAATGATCCGTAGATTCTGGAGCAGGGTACTTTTCTCTGACGAAACTAAAATAGTGCTGAGCAGAGCCGATGGTCGTGCACGTGTTTGGAGGCGCAGGAACGAGCGTTATGCCGAAGCCTGTATTCAGACTTTTAATCGTTGGGGTGGTGGCTCCATTCACATATGGGCAGAAATGTCACAGTTTGGAAGAACATATCTTGTAGTGTTGACCGTAATGTCAATGCTCAGACCTATGTCAATGATGTTCTAGCACCTGTTGTCGTACCGTACATGAACCGTCATTTTCAGGGACATGGGACACTTCAACAGGATAATGCTCGCCCGCACACAGCACGTTTGACTCAAAACTTTCTTGCTCGGAACCACATCAATGTGCTAGACTGGCCTGCAATGTCGCCAGATATGGCGCCTATTGAACACTTATGGGACAAGCTAAAACGTCGCATTTATGAGCATCAGCCACAGCCCCAGACGGTGCAGGAACTTCGACGTGTCGCAGTGAAGGAGTGGAATAACATTCCCCAGGCATCCATTGCTATGTTAGTGACCTCTATGCGTCGCCGCTGCCAGGCGCTTATCAATGCTAGGGGTGGACACACAAGGTATTGAAACTGAAATTTTCGTGAGCGATAACGCTGTGTTTAAACTGCTGGAACTTTCGTAATTTTGCAGGTATCAAAGAAATTGTTGTGTTATTGAATAAAGCATGGATGAAATATTGAAAAGGTATTGAAGTTTTTTCTGCACCACATCCACTATGGGAGATGACCAGGTATATATACAGTTTGCGTTTCTTTTTGTACTGTGTATATTTCTAACATAGACACATGCTTGTATATTTCTTACATAGACACATACTTGTACATTTCTGACATAGACACATACTTGTATATTTCTGACATAGACACATGCTTGTATATTTCTCACATAGACACATACTTGTATATTTCTCACATAGACACATGCTTGTATACTTCTCATATAGACACATGCTTGTATACTTTTGACACAGACACATACTTGTATATTTCTTATATAGACACATACTTGTATGTTTCTCACATAGACACATACTTGTATATTTCTCACATAGACACATACTTGTATACTTCTGACATAGACGCATACTTGTATGTTTCTGACATAGACACATGCTTGTATATTTCTGACATAGACACATGCTTGTATATTTCTAACATAGACACATGCTTGTATATTTCTAACATAGACACATACTTGTACATTTCTGACATAGACACATACTTGTATGTTTCTGACATAGACACATGCATGTATATTTCTGACATAGACACATGCTTGTATATTTCTAACATAGAAACATGCTTGAATATTTCTAACATAGACACATACTTGTACATTTCTGACATAGACACATACTTGTATATTTCTCACATAGACACATACTTGTATACTTCTGACATAGACGCATACTTGTATGTTTCTGACATAGACACATGCTTGTATATTTCTGACATAGACACATGCTTGTATATTTCTGACATAGACACATGCTTGAATATTTATGACATAGACACATACTTGTATATTTCTCACATAGACACATACTTGTATACTTCTGACATAGACACATGCTTGTATATTTCTGACATAGACACATGCTTGAATATTTATGACATAGACACATACTTGTATATTTCTCACATAGACACATACTTGTATATTTCTGACATAGACACATACTTGTATGTTTCTTACATAGACACATGCTTGAATATTTCTAACATAGACACATACTTGTATATTTCTTACATAGACACATACTTGTATATTTCTCACATAGACACATGCTTGTATATTTCTCACATAGACACATGCTTGTATATTTCTTACATAGACACATACTAGTATACTTCTGACACAGACACATACCTGTCTGTTTCTGACATAGACACATACTTGTATAGTTCTTATATAAACACATGCTTGCATATTACTTACATAGACACCTGCTTATATATCTATTGTATAGACACATGCTTGTATAGTTCTTATATGAACACATGCTTGTATAGTTCTTATATGAACACATACTTGTATGTTTCTTACATAGACACATACTTGTATATTTCTGACATAGACACATGCTTGTATATTTCTTACATAGACACATGCTTGAATATTTCTAACATAGACACATACTTGTATACTTCTGACATAGACCTATACTTGTATGTTTCTGACATAGACACATGCTTGTATATTTCTTACAATAGACACATACTTGTATATTTCTTAAATAGACACCTGCTTATATATTTATTGTATAGACACATGTTTGTATATTTCTTACAAAGGCACATGCTTGTATAGTTCTCATATGAACACATGCTTGCATACTTCTTACATAGACACATGCTTGTATATCTATTAGATAGACACATACCTGTATATTTCTTATATAGATACATGCCTGTATATTTCTTTCATACACATGCTTGTATATTTCTTATATTGATACATGCTTTTATACTTTTATATTGATAACATAGACACATGCATGTATATTTTTTAATGACACATGTTTAAATGAATGTACTAACAAACAATGTCTTTGTGTATTTCTAAAATAAACTAATGTATTTAAAACAAGACAAGACAACATTTACTTCTGAAAGGTTAAGGAATAAATCACAACATCAGAAACTTACAAATAACTTCATTGAGCCATCTTGTGAGGCACTCAGCAGTAATTTATGCTCATTTTCATGAAAACACACTCTATTTACTGTTCTTTTATGCTCTTGGAATATATGCTCTGAAATGCAAGCTTTAAAATATATGCCATGAAAATGAGTTCTTGAAATATATACAATGAAACATGACAAAAATATATGATTAATACGAATCTTGAAATATACATGCTATGAAACAAACTTTAATTGTAAGATATATGCTATGAAAGATTTATCTTATATATACATATAATGTACATTGAAACATTGATCTTAAAATATGTACTATGAAACGTTGATTTTAAAACATATGCTACAAAACAAGGATCTAAAAACACATGTTATGAAACATGTACCTTAAAATGTATAAAGCTATGAAACATGGACTTTAATCATATGCTTTGAAACATGGATCTTAAAATGTATAAAGCTATGAAACATGGACTTAAATCATATGCTTTGAAACATGGATCTTAAAATGTATAAAGCTATGAAACATGGACTTAAATCATATGCTTTGAAACATGGATCTTAAAATGTATAAAGCTATGAAACATGGACTTAAATCATATGCTTTGAAACATGGATCTTAAAATGTATACATGTACCACTGTTAGATAATCCAAGAGAACAAGTGTTTGAAGTTTCAACCCATTCCCTTCAGAAATTTTGGAGATACAATTTTGCATTCAAAAACTTAACATAAGTGTGACAGCCATTATTCAATAAACACATATAAGGAGTGTAGGACAAAAGCCATCCCGTCCAAAAATGACAAGGCAGACAAAAGCCCTCCTGTGAAAATGACAGGGTGGACAAAAGCCCTCCCATGAAAATGACAGGGCGGACAAAAGCCCTCTACCATAAAAATAACAAATAACAGTGCGGACAAAAGCCCTCCCGTGAAAATTACATTATCATTTTTGGACCGGAGGGCTTTTATCCGGGAGGGCTTTTGTCCGTTTCCCACATATAAGGCGAGACTTAAAAACCCATGCCAGTTTGGGTAGGGTAGGTAGGCTAGTAAAAAAAAAAATGTGATGTAGGTAGTGGGAGGGGAAACAAAAAATATTTTATTCTATATTTGATTTTAAAATATATTTAATTAAGCAAGATAAACAGATTATTTAGGTAATTTGTTAAATTCTTTTCCATATGTGTAGGAAAGCATATTATCAAAGCAACAGTTTCAATCAGATATATATTATATTTATCAGATATTATACAAATATGGACTTTTTAGCTGTTGAATATGATGTGATATGTACTGAAAAAAATAATATTGACCGAGGCGATAGCCGAGGTCAATATTAATTTTTCAGTACATATCACATCATATTCAACAGCTAAAAAGTACATATCTGTTTTATTATATGGCTTATCACATCAGCCATTGCATACGACGGAAATCATTATTTTTCAGCTTGTCTACTGTTTCCATAATTTGGCCCTTTCCATTGGCATGCTAATCCCTATTTTTCTTAAAAATGAAAAACGGTAACTAAAATAGACTAATTTGACTCTCATGTACGCTAAACTGAACGTTTCTTCAGAATAATAGCAACAAATTTGGCGTGACGTCATGTCAAAGTCTCGCGTCTTTTAGGGATTTCCAGAAAATCTATTTTTAGAAGAAACACCGGTGACTATACTCTGAAAATCTATTTTTAGGGAAAAAAACAGTGAATATACTCTGATATTGACCTGTTATTTTTTACAAAAAGTTGCTTGTTAGCCAATCAGGGAAAGGCATTTCAAAGCTATTTATAGACTAGAAATGTGTCATCATGCCACGGATGCCCCCGTATGCAGCCAAAATTTCAGATGTTATAATATTTAGTTCCAAATTTGTTTGCAGAAATAATTTTTTTCATTTTAAGTTCAAAGCCCTTAAAACTTTTCAATGTTAACACAAACCATTTCCATACAATGTTCAAGGCACTGAAATTATTCAGTCTTAACCTTTTGAAAATAGCATATTTCATATTTGTAGCCAAAATAGTGGCTACATACATTTCCACAAAAGTATGAGTGCTGAAACTGAAAGTTCAAAATTTTTCCAACATTCAAGAAAGATAAGTTTGTCCAAAATCATTGAACCATGACCAAATTCAAACTTAAACTGCTTATTCCTAAGATGTATCTATATTATTTTCGAAGTGAAAGGGACATAACTCTGCCAAAAAATCATCGAACCATGACCAAATTCCAACTTGACCTGCCCATTCCTTTGACATATCCATATGTCAAGTTTGAGTTAAATATGTAACACTGTTGGGTAGATATGAACAGAAACTGTTAATTTCATATTATTTTCAAAGTGAAAGGGGCATTACTCTGCCAAAAATCATAGAACCATGACCAAATTCGAACTTGGCCTGCGCATTCCAAAAACATATCCATATGTCAAATTTGAGTTGAATGTGTTGTACCGGTGGGGAGATAATAAACAGAAACTGAAAATTTCATATTATTTTCAAAGTGAAAGCTGCATAACTCTGCCAAAAATCATTTAACCATGACCAAATTTAAACTTGACCTGCGCATTCCTTTGACATATCCATATGTCAAGTTTGAGTTGAATGTGTTGTACCGTTGGGGAGATAATGAACGGAAACTGAAAATTTCATATTATTTTCAAAGTGAAAGGGGCATAACTCTGCCAAAAATCATCCAACCATGACCAAATTCTAACTTGGCCTGTATTTTCTCATGACATATCCATATGTTAAATTTGAGTTGAATGTGTTATACCGTTGGGGAGATAATGAACGGAAACTGAAAATTTCATATTATTTTCAAAGTAAAAGGGGCATAACTCTGCCAAAAATCATCCAACCATGACCAAATTCGAACTTGACCTGTATTGTATCATGACATATCCATATGTTAAGTTTGAGTTGAATGTGTTGTACCGTTGGGGAGATAATGAACGGAAACTGAAAATTTCATATTATTTTAAAGTAAAAGGGGCATAACTCTGCCAAAAATCATTGAACCATGACCAAATTCGAACTTGACCTGTATTTTCTCATGACATATCCATATATCAAATTTGAGTTGAATGTGTGCAACCGTAACTAAGATAATGAACGGAATGACAGAATGACGGAATGACGGAATGACGGAAGGACGGAAGGACGGAACAGGGTAACACTATATGCCCCGGCCATTACATGGCGGGGGCATAATTATATAATAAATATATATACATTATTTTTTTCTTTTTTAAGCATATTATATATTGCAAGAGTTTTTAAAATTTAGTTAAAGCAGTATTATGTAATGACCCATAAAAAATGGTAACCAAAGAGCGTAATAACAAGAGCTGTCCGTAAGACAGCGCGCTCGACTTTTTTATTGCTTGCCAATAAAAAAAGTTTTTGCAGTAAAAGGCAATACAAGAATCTCTGTATTTTTAAAGTGAACAATGGCCATGAGCATTAAGATATTTAGTGAAGAATTATTTTACTGAATTGTGTGATACCCTTGAACACTGCAGCAAAGTTTGAAATGTTTAAGTCAAAAGAGGGCTGGTAAGAAAGAAAAAAAAACTGAGTTGAGCCTTAAATAAATTTAATAGTATTAAACCCACTTTGAGAGAATAAGGTATTTTTACGTCACTCAGAACACCTTGGTAAATGACATAATAACATATTAGTGCTTGCCTATAATACAAAACATTGACAGTTAAGGGCCATAATTCAAATAAAATCTTTGACAGAATTACCTTCTCCTGGACATGTTTGGGAATCATGATTGTAAACAAGTATTCCAACTTTCAAATTAATATCTCAAACAGTTCAGTCAAAAAGTGGACTGGTACTAAAAACTTAACCAAGATTCTAAGTCGATAAAAGGCCTTAATTTTTAAAACAAATCCTTGACAGAGTTACCTTCTCTTGCGTACAGATGGGGGTAATGATGTGAAATAGCATTAAAAGTTTCAAAGCAATATCTCAAAGGGTTAAGGCAATAAGTGGATTTTACCCATATTCAATGTATTTTCTAAGTCAAAAAGGGGCATAATTCTGTCAAAAACCTTGACAGAGTTATGTCCTCTTGTCTGTTGATGAAGGTCGTGATGGTAAACAAGTATGGTCAGTTTCAAAGCAATACCTCCAATGGTTTTGAAATAAAGTGAGGTGGTACAAAAAACTTAACCAAGCTCAATACACTTTCTAAGTCAAAAAAGGGCCATAATTCTGTCAAAAACCTTGACAGAGTTATGTACTCTTGTCTGTAGATGGAGGTTATGATGGTGAACAAGTATGGTAAGTTTCAAAGCCATACTTGTAATACTTCTGAAATAAAGTGGGGTGGTACGAAAAACTTAACCAAGGTGTGACGCCAACGCCGACGCCGACGCCGGGGCGAGTAGGATAGCTCCCCTTTTCATAGAAAAGTCGAGCTAAAAATTACATGTGAAAAGCTTCTATATATTTCTGTTTAGTAGTTTTGTTTATAAAACTGTAGTGAAAGACTTGCAATTAGCTGACAAATCTAAAGAGCTAGAAATTTATAATGGCAATGCTTAGTCCCTGACTAAGAAACTGCAAACTGTGAACCTTCATTGATGAAGAAAAATCTGGTACATGTATAAAACTACTGACTATAGACTTGCTCTGGAATATTTTGGGTTTTTCCAAGCTAATCCGGGGTAATAAACAAACTTTTACAGTTACAGCTTTGGAAATAAGCACAACAGGTTTCCTAATCTATTATGACTGGTAGTGCAACATGAAACTATAACAGTAAAAGTTTGTACCAAGGAGATAAGCTTGAAAAAACCCACATTTGCCGAATTTTGGATATCATCTATTTAAAGGTAATGTTACAGTCTGCTGGTAAATTTCCTGACATAGACCAATTTCAACATTAAGCAATTCATTATTGTATTTCCATTAAGATACTTCATAACTAGAAAAAAGTTTTTTCACCATTTAAAACAAGTTATTTAACAACTACATGTACAATCAAATGTTCATATTTTAAAGAAAAACAAATCATGATTATACAAACATCTAGCACAAATATAAGTCATGGTCATCTATTGTAATGGATTATCTACCAAAACCATGTGTAACAGGAACTTAATTCTTTCCTTGCTAAATATCATAAATAGACTGGTAAATCTTTCAACCTGGACAAAACCATTCATCATTTTAAAGGGTAAACTTCACAAAGTGTACTCACTGAATAGCCATAAGTGTAGACTATGATCAGACAGGTGGGTAGTGTTGTCACCAGCGCGCTATAGGTTAAAGGGTAACAACTGTATACATACCTTGTTTACTACGAGACATACGACTCAGATCCCAAATCACAACAGCTCCATTTGTAGCTCCTGTAGCTAGTATATGATCTATAAATAAAGACATAATATTCAAGTTTACATAACACTTACCTTATCTAACTAACAAGAAACATACCACAATCGTTTTGCAAGTTTATGAAGTTTGGCTCTATAACCATAATTTTGCTTCCTTGTTTTAAGTTTTGTTTTTTTTTTAGCTGCCATTACTACACCAATTTACCAATTTTAACAAATTTTTGGTCATATCTTGGCAGCAAATCCTCCTAACCAATTTTCCTGGATAACTAAGCAGTAATTACCATTTTCTCTGCATGTGAATGACTAATAATCTCACATGATTGCAGAATCAGAGACGACAAATAACTACAAGACTCAATGTCCGACATCATAGAAATTATGCCATGCCTGATATTCACAGATATAACATGACCCAGGGATAATTTATTATCATTATAATTATAGTTTATGATCAATATCATTATTTCCTCAATAGACAAAAGCAATGAAAAATGTTGTTGATACCATGAGAATGGTTCTAGGACCAAGGTTATACATTTATAAGAGACACAAAACCTACCATCAGTATGGTTCCAGGCTATATCAGAGGCACAGTAGTTCAGGTTCACATGTTTACCCACACGAAGATTGTACTTCTCTTCAAAACATTCATCATCCACGCTATAGATCTTAAATACTGTAAAAGAAAATAAAACAATATAGGCATATAAAAAGACTTAAAATAATTAACTATAACAAAAACATTCTGTTACATAAATATTGCTCTCTGTATAAACAGATTTGATGTAAACAGGTATAAATGCACTGACTATAAACCAATACAGGGCATTCTAACTCTTTCACATGATGATGATAACGGTAAAGACCCAATATCAAGAAATTTGACCAGACTCCATACATTTAATTTGAAGATTACTCATTTGATATTGAAATCTGCTAAAATCAAGTTAGAAGTTCCAAATTTAAAGCAGGTCAATCATTATCCTATCACATGTCTTTTTCATTGTATTGATTAAAACCCATTGCAATATTAGTAAACACTGAACAGGTTGAAATGTTTCTCTTTTAGTCTCACTTATATAATAAATAGCTGAAAGTTATGTTAATACTATAGAGTAACAAGAGCTGTCTGTAGGACAGCATGCTCGACTATTCTAAGTGCTAGATAGTAAAAGAGCCTTTATATTGTTTAATTTTTTAAGTTCACAAAAGGGCTAATTTTTTTTTTATAAATTCATGTTATAGGCCTAAGAGCGAGAGTCTAATTATACAGTATTGGCTTGACTATTCGGAAGGTAATGTCACAAGGGTGTTTTATTGAGTATAATAATACTAATTACCTATGAATAAATAAATTTGACAGAAAAGGTTACACAAGGCTTGTTATTAAGATGTTTTATCAAGTTAAATCACTGCTTTATTATTTATAATGCATAAAATTGTCCCGAAAAAAGGCACAAACCCTTCAGTAGTTATTGAGATAACAACTTACAAGAAAAACTTTAACCATGAATTTCTAAAGTTGAAAAAAGGGGAGAAAAATCAGCCTAAATGCAAGATAGAATTTATGGATCTTTGTCAGTGACCTACAATTAATGACCCTAAATGCATATGTGAAGTTTTTAATAAATATCTTTAATAGTTATTGAGATATGTAAAACTTGCATGTAAACATTAACCAAGAGACTAAGTAGAAAAGGGGATATGAATCAGCCTTAATGCAAGATAGAGTTATGGAAACTTGGTCACGTGACATACAATTATGACCCTCCAATTATGACCCTAAGTACATGTGTAAAGTTTCAAGTAAATATCTTTGAAGACCTTTAATCATTTTAACCAAAATTTCTAAGTTTCAAAGGGCGCGAATAATTCTGCAAATATTGCAGGCAGAGTTATGCAATTTTGCAAACTGATGTACATTTGTTACTATAAAAAAAGTATTTTAAATTTCAATTGAATATCTCAAGCAATAATTGAGATATTTGACTTTACAAAAAACTTTAACCAAATTTCTAAGTTAAAAAGGGGCATAATTCTGTCAATATTGTAGGCAGAGTTATCCAACTTGTCATATCTGATGTACCTTGTTACTACAAATAAGTATTGTAAGTTTCAATTGAATATCTCAAGCATTGATTGAGATATTTGACTTTACAAAAACTTTAACCAAAATTTCTAAGTTAAAAAGGGGCATTTAATTCTGTCAATATTGTAGGCAGAGCTTATCCAACTTGTCAATCTGATGTGCCTTGTTTACTTATAAATAGTATTGTAAGTTTCAATTGAATATCTCAAGTAATAATTGAGATATTTGAACTTTTACAAAAAACTTTAACCAACGCAGACGCCGACGCGGACGCTGACGCCGACGCCGGGGCGACTACAATAGCTCTCATATTCTTCGAATAGTCGAGCTAAAAACACCCACCATTCCTTCCACCAACAACCACCTGTGAGGCATCTTTGTTTTGAGCTATAGTAGATACAGCTCCTCCACAATTGATAAACATTGTCTGTGGATTACTTGATGTAACTGAAACAACATGCAAAATAACACTGAAATTAAATCTATATAATTAAAACATGGAATAAAATTTTCTTTTATCATTTTTAGGGCTGTAACGGTTTACCGCTACACCGATATATTGCGGTGCAGGATAAATTAATATTGTACCGCGGTTCACATTTAGTTGTACCGGTTTTATTTAGTACTAATAGTGTTCCATAATTTCCTCTATAAATAAAAGAAAGTCTCCCATAATTTTCTTGATAAATAAATGTTATGAAAATGTCCTATGCACAAAAGAAAATAACAAACGGAAAGTAAGAAGCGTGTAAAAAAACGGTGTTAGGGTAAAAAAATTACATGGTGCGCGGGTAGACAAATGCTTGAATAAATCGGTGATTTACTATGGCAGACGGAAATAATTACGATCTAATAAACAGTTCAATTACAAGGAAAAGAGAGACCCATGAAATTTTTGAATACTAGATGCTGACAAAGTAGACACGTTAATTTTTCTAAAGAAAAACATTGATTAATTGCCATCGTCACTCAATCCCTGTGATCTAGTCCGACGGCGAGTCTGAAACTGTGTTAAGAAAATCATTAGGATATAATTTAGATTGTTAGTTACTTAATGAAAAGTGTTTAAAGTTTTATTTTGCTGTTAAGTTACTCATAGTTGATGCTTCAATAGTTGAAACAGTTTAAATTTTTGTTAAAGGGAAGTATCCACTAATTCTGTTTTGCGAGAGATATACATGTAGATAAATATAATATTTGTTGAAATAATATACAAGTCTCTTTTCCTGAATTATTTCCCAGTACCTAAGATAAATAACAATACGTATCACAATATATTGCAATACGGATGTGGCGTATTGCAATATATTCCAATACGCTTTTTACCGTTACAGCCCCAAATTCATTATAGACACTATTTCCAATATTGAGCTTTATTTATCTCAAGGACTATATTGTTATAAATATTCTTTTACAAGTATCAGTAAGCTGAAATACTTACAACAAAGTTATCAAAATGTGCTTCTTTTCACATTTTTCTCTAAAAACCATTAGAAAATGAATTGAATAAATATTTAGTACCAGAACATCAGAAGAAAACGAGGCAAACAGTGCCAATGTAGGATAAATAGTTATCACCATTATAATTCTTGGCTAGGAAAAAACCAATACAGAATATAATAAATAAATCTTTTATTATACAGCCATTGACCTTTTCGAAAACCTAGCTAAACACCGTTTTCCGGTACATTACCGTATAAGCTCTGGGGAATTACACCAAATGAAGTACATAACACAGTTACGTGATATTTCTATTTTTCTATCATTATTTAACCGTTTAAGGTGAAAATAATTGATGTTTTTGAAAAATATCAATATTCCTTTAATATCTATTGCAAATTATTCAAAAAAATAAATTATTTATAATGAAAATCAATAAAATTCAAACAGCGTAGTGGAATCGTCCATAATAAATAAGGTTATTTTCTGCGTAAACTTGTGTATTTACTTTATTTTTTGTATGGAATTATTCAAACAATGATATTTAATTATTTTCTTTTAAAGAAATAACTGTTTTATTTCAATTTAATTTAAAAAAAGGCCGAAAACTTCGAATTCACTATTACACTCCATTAGGTGAATTCCCCAGAGCTAGGTACAGAAAGTACCGGAAAACGGCTTTTAGCTACGTTTTCGAATTCGTGAATTACAGGCCAACAGATTTGTACACAGTTTACACTCCTAAAATGTAATACGAACAGCAAACATGTATTTCTGTATAATTAAATGTCACTGTATGAAAGTTAAAATGTGACTAATCTGGATGATGGTGTTAAAAAAACTTTCTACCTGTTGAGCCACTTACCTCTGTCATGAACTATCTTCTGAACTGTCTGCATACTGTTTCCTTGATAAAAAGTATCACTTTTGTATAAATTCAGGGCCTATCTACAATCGAATTAAAACGTTGAAATTTGGAAAATGAAGTCCAAACATCAAGCCTATCCTTTACTGTCCTGACTGAAGTCTGTAGGCACTGCCATGACTGCAAATACAGAAAATGAGAATTAATTTCATTTATAAGCATTTTCAAACATTTGCACATTTGTAAATATCTCATTACCCGATGAAAGAATTTGAAAAAAAAGTAAATAATTATTTTAAATATGAACTCATGTCAATATGTTAACCTGTCTTAAATTTTTATGAGCCATTTATTTCACCAAATTAATTTGAAGTATTTTTTGTGAAACATAAAATCTTTTAATTATCGATATTGACAGGGGCTTTTTATTATTACGTCTGTTACCTGGCTTATAGTCTCCCTTTTAAAATCAGTGACTTGTTTTGATTTGCTTGACTGATTTTTTGTATTCATCCGCGGTTATTATAAATAAGCTGCTCAACTAGTTTTTGGTACAGTTTGTATGACACGTTTTTCATGGAATGTTAAATTTTGGCGGTCTTTACTGTGGCCATTTTGAAAAGAATATAATATTTTTGTGGTTACTTTGCTTCTCTAGGATACAGTTTTATATGGACTAATTTACGTTCTTCAGAGGAGTTTCCCAGTGGGGAAAAACTTTTATTTTGAATTTGTTTTTCTTTTGACTTTGAATACAGAGTTTTGTGTACCATAATTTTCTGTTTTGAATGAGGAGTTCTAGGGCTAGAAAAGCTATAGACTATAGAAAAATGGCTTCGGGTTTTAGTCCCGTCAGTGTTCCTACAACTAGTCACAGTTCGACAAGTTTGACGGAAGATTCGAGTTCTAAGGTGTCTACGAAAATTTCGGGCACTAAAGGTCCGGTAGTTACAGTTCCGGATAAGATTAGTACGACACATGCCATTAAGTCACATGGGAAACATATTCCTGGGAAAGAAGGCTCCATGTCAGTTCCAGTTAAATCGAGTTTACCCGTCGGAGTCTCCGATAAATTAGACGAGCTTAAACATACTGTTTCACCGGCTAAGCTTCTCAGTGATACAGATAAAAGAAAACAACTGTTGGCTCGTCTTGCAGAATTGGACGAGAAATTGAAGGTATTGCAAGAACGGAAAGAGTTGGAGATACTTCGAAAACAGGTGGAGGAAAGAGAAGCCGTGGTGGATGAGCTGGAAAAGTCACTGTCGGGCCCGTCACTGTCAATGCCTAAGAGAGGGAAGGAAGGTTCGAAGAAGCCTTGTGTAGCTGCTGGGTTTCAGGTGCCTTTGCCTTCTTCTACTCCAGCTGGAGATTCAGGTATGGATTTATTAACTATTAAACATTTGAGAGAAATGACTGGTTTGAGGAGAAGGACAAGGAAGGAAATGGCAAAACTTGGGGTTGCCATTAATTGAGTACGAAAGAACTTAGGACGAAACATGCAATATTGTTTCTGTACTAATTACAACACATAGCATCAATTTAAAATGATATTACCATTACTTTCATATAAAATATCACTTTCTTTATTCAAATTTATAAGTAAGAAACTTGCTTTTGAACACAAAATGTTATTTAAGTAACAATAATCTTCTTGTGAAAAAGCGAAACTTGTCTGGTCTAAAAGCTGTCACATATTTATTTTAACGGTCTATACCGGTTTGATAATTTTATTTTTTCTAACGATTATTATTGTTGTTTATTAAAACACGAAATCTATCATTAATATTAACAATAAAAATTACAAATAAATAGAGGATATTTGTTAAGTTCAGTGTAAGATCGGAATATATTTCACCGAGTGAGCACCAAAAGGTATATTTCACGAGTGGCGCAGCCACGAGTGAAATATGAACTTTTGGTGTTCACGAGGTGAAATATATTTCGATCTTACACTAAACTAAACAAATTTTCTTTTTATTACATTTAACGTTTAAAAAGACATTTTATCCTAGTACTAAATGAAAAGCGCGCCAAATTCTAATACAACGTGACGTCATTTACGACGTCACGTCATTAAGCTGGTTTCCAGTACTGAGCACGCTGGTATTTCACTGAGACAACGTAACGGGCTTAAATTCAAAACAGTGAAATTATCAAATTGATAATTTCACTGTTTCAAACAGTGAAATTACCAGTTTATAAATCACTGATATATTTCTATAATCCACCGAAAAGCATGTAATAAAAGAGCATCATTCAAATTATCTTGTACTTTAGAATATATTTGCAGATAAATGGTAGGGTCATAACACACAATCATGCCATGGAGGAGTAGCAGTCATTGCCAAATCCAACATTGCTAGGGTTCAAGTTGATACAGACACTAGGTACCACATGATTTACAGTAGCTGCGATCACCTGTATGCACAGTAAAGACCAATTGATCATTGGTTCGCTATACCGACCACCAAACAGACTGGTAGAATACACGTACAGAGGAGTTGAATTCAGTTGTCCAGAAATTTGCAAGGAAAGGGAAATACATGTATCAAGGCTCAGTACGTCTCGTATGGATTGCAGGTGATGACAGTCTGCCTGAGCTTGACTGGAGGCCATCCAGCACTAAAGCCCAAAATAACCAATCACATATAAAAAAATAGAGAAAAACGGAATCTCTAAAAAAGCCCAACACGGCAAAATTGAAAATGTTGCACACTCAGTTTGATTAAGCCTGTTCATGGACGGTACTGGTAAATGCAAGTTACCGTCCACGCCCCCTAGCACCGGGTTAAGCAGAATTCAATATTTAACCACTACCTTTATTGATACCATATTCGACAAATGGAGGTGAACAATGGTAGATTTTCTTATCCGAGGTACCAAAACTCTAGATGTACATGTATTCACCACAAACCGGCGTGAAACCGCCCCCCCCCCCCCCGCCCCGTTGCTGAACAGGTGCATTCCATGCCCTAGCCTAAGTGACCATGACATCGTCATGATTGACACACACATCATAGTGCCATCCAGACAGACACCAGTCAAACGCCTTGTTCATTTATGGAAGAAAGCCAACACAGGAAAGATGGCAGAGTACCTTAACCATGATCTGGCACATTTTCATCGACAACCCATCACAAGACACCCCATAAACGATCTTTGGACCACTTTCAAATCCATTTGCCTCGACAACATCATGAAGCATGTACCAACTAAGTGGACTTCAAATAAGTTAACAACCATGGTGCAATAGAAAAATCAAACAGCTTTCCAGACAAAAGTGAAGAGCCTTCAAAAAGTACAAACAATAGGCAGGGGTAAGGACGGGTAAAAATTTAGGTACCTACAGAAGTCAACCCAGTAGGAATGTAAGAATGCCTATAATTCATATGTATCGGATATGGTGCAGAAGGACTCCAACAATTAGAAAATTGTACTCTTCCATTAATTGTAAGAAGTGTGACAGTGTTGGGATTTCTCCATTCCTCTCTGACGGGAATCTACATGGAGAAACAAAAGCATCTATCCTGAACCAACAATTTTCGTCAGTGTTCACCACAGAGGATACATCTGACATCCCGTCCCTAAGCACTAGTACCATCCCATCCGCACCTTACTACAGAGTCACTGAGAAGGGTGTACTGAAACTCTTGCAAGGTCTCAAATAGAAGAGGATCAAAGACGGACAGCTAGTTTCGTGACTACAATGCCATCAGTAGTGTCACATAAATGATCGACATGTTATAATGCCATAGCCTACATGTACAACAACGCAGAACTAGAGCTAAAGCCACAAGGATGTATCGTGTTGTTAACTCCCTAATTACTATACAACTGCCTTTCCAATCCAGGCAATCAGGAGCAGCCACAATGGGACATGAACTCCGGTACAGGATCACATTCTGCCGCACCGCAGTCTAAAAGGAATAATATTTTCCATCCAACATCAGGATATTGAACCAGGTGCCCGAAGACATCATTATAGCCCAGTCTTTGGGAGTCCTTTAAGATCGGAATACAGGGATACATTGAACCTTGCTATGTCATGTACATGTATTTACAGCTACCCTATCATTGCCATGATGCGGCATTGACTTTAAATTTTGCTAAACATTCTTCAGATCGCGTTTTCACAAGGTTTTGATGATTATGATCATGATCACTTCAGGATTCAAACACTAGTATATATTTCAATTTTTCTTAGATTGTTTATTTGTATATTTTAACATAACAGTTAATATAAAATGGCATAAATTCGCGAAATTAGAAAACAAAACAAAACACAAACTCAAATCTACTTTACTGCGTAAGATATGCGCGTTTAAAGTTGATCAATCCTTGTTGATCCAGTTATTAACTTGTTATTTTTATTATTATTCCAAAACTTTATCACAAAACAAGTTTGTTCCTTTGCAAATTAGCATTTTTTCTTCAGATTTTATCAATATTTCGTAAAAGGTTAATAAACTATTTTAATGTTTGTTTCATGCAACAATGTCAATAATAAAATCAGGAACTTTTAATTCAGCCAGATCCTGGTTCTTAAATCTTTGTATTATACCCGGGGCCCATTTTTTTTTTATACGTATTTTTAACCTTTTATATTTTTTAAATTTTATTTATTTTCCCATTTTTTGGGTATCTTTGAAAATTTAAGGGAACGTACTTTTTGATTAGAGGGGCATGCGTTTCCCAAAGAAAATAACAGGGAAATTTATTTAAAACCCGAAAAAAGCCCTAAACAAAGATAAAAAAAAAAATATTAAATAAAAAAAATTTTTTTAAACTTTAAAAAATTTAAAAAAACACTACGAATATTGCAGAGAAATGTTGATAGGGGGTTTGTTTTAAACAAAAAGAAAAATTTTGGGTTCATTTAACTTTTCCCAAAAAATAAAAACCATTTTGTTTTCTTAAAAACCCCTTTTCCATAAAAAATTTTTAGACACCCGGGCAGGGTTTTTCTCTTTAATTACGGATTTTACTGTCATTTTCCAGCCCAATATTTTCCCCCGGTTTGGAAATTGGGTTTAAAATTTTTTGGATTTAAACCCAAAATTGCAATTTCATCTGACCAAAATGGAAATGGATTTTCATTTTCAATCTATCTATTTTGGTCTGAGAGAATCGATCCTTCATGCTAAGCTTCTAAATATGGAAAAACTAATACTAACTTTGCAGCTGTCCTATTCTAACTCTGAAATATATACATGTAGTTAGTTATTCTTTATTCTCAAAGTTAAGAAATAATGAACATATAAGTATTTAAAAGCGATACTTGGAGCTCAATGGAGAAGTAAAATAAGTGATTAAATATAAAGGTGACGTGATTGTGCCAGGTATTTTGCTGAACTCCTCTTCACACATAACAGTTATATTTTCCCAAACTGCTCTACTTTTTGTAACTGTCTTATTATTATTAAGATAATTCAATATTTCAGGGAAGAACCGTTTGCTGATGTTGTAAGAACTCGTTGTTCAACCCATTTGCTAATACATGTATACTGTTATAAATGTTTACAAAATAGCAATTAAACATTTTTCTCTTCAAAATATAGCATCCGAATTATTATAAACCTTTATCTATTCTACATCTTACACGTCTTCTTACTTGACAATTTAGATTCAATAGAACATAGCCGCTTGAATAATTATATACGATTGACTACAAGAGAAATTTCAGATCGAAAGCACGATATTTAGAAAACACATATCAACACTATGACATACAGACAGACATTTTTTATTCACCCAAACAGTATATTTTTTCCGTACATTTGACATATATACACTTATATGCAGGGACTTCGGTTGTTCGACTCAGGTGCTCGCTCGTGCCTGAAATGCAAGAAGGCACCTAAAGATTTCCTCCACGCACCAAGTAAAGCTGGAAAATCCCCATATGACAGACAATTGCCGTGTCGATAAAACAGAGTCAGTATTTCTAAACAGTCAAATAATTGGCTATGATTTAAATTTGTGCGCTATTGTGGTATGTGCCACCTCGCCATGTTTGTTAAATTGGTCAATCTGCATGTTTTATTAATGCTGAGGGATGATCTTGTTTGAAAAACTGCTAAAATTCTAGCTCCTTCCTCTCCTTGTAAATATGAATATGTTGTATGTACATACAGTATGATTCTTAAACCTAGGTGGTCTAGCGCAGTAGACGAGACTTACCTTGAAGTTGAAGTACAATTCTTTTTCTTCTGCTACTGGACCACAGGGTTCAATGCCCACCGGTTGACCCTCCCTTTGAATAAGCCATTGTATTTTGCATATATATGCTTTGAAAGTCTGCTTGGTCATCTGATAAGACAATATGTTCATCTCATTAAACCCTGTGGTCCAGTAGCAGTAAAATTATAAATTGAACTTCAACATCCAGGATATGACTTGTTTAATTTATAAATAATCAATATTTATGAGTAGTCAGCCGATTTTTTTCTTTAAACAATACACGCACAATTAGTGATTTTAAGTTTTAAAAAGAACGGGATCATATGATTAAGCCGTTGAAAGTAAGGAAGTTAATTCATTATTCACAAGTTAGAGTCAATAAATATATTGTTCGTGTTTTAATATTCAAGGTTAAACTTGTTTACAGCTGGTCACAATACATGGATGACGCAAGTATTACCATATATATCTATAGATGACAAATACAGAAAATACAAGTTCATATTT